CAACGACAACAACAACAACAACAACAACAACAACAACAGCAGCAGCAATAACAACAACAGCAACAACACCACCAACATCAACAACTATCAGTTTAAGACTGTTCGCTCTCAGCTGCTCGCGTGCCACTCAACACGTACAACCCAAACCCTCGACACCCGCCCTCTTCGTCTTCGATCGTACCCCCATTGGGGGTATATCTTTCTTACCTGCAACGTGTACTTCATGCAGCCCCTACGGCAGAAGAAGAGATGACGGATGGAAGGAAGGGACAACGGAGGGAGGAGGATGGAGCACGAGAGAGAGAGAGAGTAGCAGGAGGGAGGCTAGGAGCAGAAAACACGTGGCAGAAGCAAACGGGCAGATCGGGCGAGTAGGGTAGACCCTAACAGGCGGGTCGGGAAGGCGGGCCCACGCGGCCAGGTCGAGCAGGCGGGTTGCTAAAGCGTGCGTCGTGTATGAATCGCCAGGAGGGGGGATCAACAATATTCAATATTAAAAAATGAAAAATTCATCCACAACAACAACGACGGTGACAATAACAACGACAACAACAACAGCAGCGGCAGCAACGACAACAACAACAATAAGTTTAAGACTGTTCGCTTTCATCTGCTCGCGTGCCATTCAACACGTACAACCCAAACCCTCGATACCCGCCCTCTTCGTCTTCGATCGTACCCCCTTGGGGGTATATCTCTTACCTGCAACGTGTACTTCATGCAGCCCCTACGGCAGGAGAAAAGATGACGGATGATAGAAAGGGACAAGGGGGAGGGAGGAGGATGGAGCACGAGAGAGAGAGAGAGTAGCAGGAAGGGGGCTAGGAGCAGAAAGCACGTGGCAGAACCAGACAGGCAGATCGGCGGGTAGACCCTAACACGCGGGTTGGGAAGGCTGGCCCAGGCGGCCAGGTCGAGCAGGCGGGTTGCTGAAGCGTGCGTCCCGCATGAATCGCGAGTCTCGAGCGATAGCGCGATTTCCATGTAAATCTCGAGAAAGGCCGAAACGGGAGCGTGATTCCTGAGTGTCGAGGGCGCGGAGGCAAGGGTGGGCCTGCGGACAGCGTGATACGGCCTGTGTGGGTTTACTCTGGGCCTCTGTGGGCTGCGTGGGAGGCCTCAGGTGGCAACGCGCTGGGGCCTCTGTGGGCGCGCTTGAAGCCTCTGTGGGCTGGGGCCTTTGTGGGTGCGCTTGGGGCCTTTACGGGCTGCGTCCGAAGGCCTCAGTGGGCAGCGTGCTGGAGCCTCGGTGGTTCGGGGGCCTCTTTGGCCAGGGCGTCTAAGAGTAAATTGCGAAGGCGTGTCGAGCGGGACCTCCGGCGGCGGCGCCGCTACTGAACTGCAGTCTCTGGCCAAGGGGTCTCGAAGTACAGCTTGAGGAAGTATCGAACGGGAGCCTTTTGTCGTCGTGGTTGGACCTCCACCAACTTGACTGAATTACGAAAAAATCTAAAACGAAAGCGCCGCTCCTGAGTTCGAGGGCGTCTCTGGCCACGGCTCTCGGATTACATCTTGGGAAAATGAAACGAGAACCCTTGTCCGCCGTGTTTGGGTCTCCACCGACTTGCCTGCGTTACGAGAAAATCTCGAGCCAAAACGCCGTTCGTGAGTTCGGGGGCCTCCCTGGCCAGGGACTCCCGGAGAAAATCGTGAGGAAATATCGAACGGGAGCCTTTGTCTTCTTGGCTAGGCCTCCGCCAACTTGACTGATTTGCGAGGAAGTCTCAGGCGAGAGCGCCGCTCCTGAGTTACAGGGCCTCTCTGGCCACGGTGTCTCGAGTAAATTGTAGGGAAGTATCGAGCGGGAGCACTTGTCGTTGTGACTGGGCCTCCGCCAACTTGATTGACTTGAAAAGAAGTCTCAAGCGAGAGCGCCGTTCCTGAGTTCGGGGCCCCCGCTGGCCAGGTTTGAATATTATGAGGAACTATCGAGCGGGAGCCGTTGTCGTCGTAGCCGGGCCTGCAACAACACACAGTTACAACCAAGCCAACGCTTAAGCAGGAGACTCCCTTTTCAGAGAGAACGCAGCCAGCGTCGAGGCTAGAGCGCGCTGAACCGTTCGCGGAGATCAACAATGATTCTTCTCTAGAAACGAATATTCAATAACAACAACAAAACCACAATAACAACAGCAACAACAACAACAACAACAACAACAACAACAACAACAACAATCATGTTACCATCATGCACCATGCTTCCACATGCCACACGCACCCTTCTGGGTACCATGCCCCATCCTGGGGGATTTTGCAGGCACGCGGGCCCCGACATGCCCTCGCCCAAAGCACCCGCCCACGACAGCGTCGCCACCGCCTCTACCGAGGAACTTCGACATCCACAGCTCGGACAGCGCATCGTCATCGCAATCGCCCCGCGCACGCCCCGCATCTCGGAGGAGGAGGAAGAGGGCCAGGAGGGGAGGGAAGATGAGGGAAAGGGAGAAGGAGAGGAGGAGGAGGAGGAGGAGGAGGAAGAGGGAGGAGGGGGAGGGGCATA